AAGTCTTCCAGATCTGAGAGCTGTTAACTTTGCCGACAAGATAGAAGGACAAAAGCTGAACGGAAGCCTGATAAGAGAACTTGAAGTGGATTCGGAAAGTTCCTGTCAGCTTGAGTGTGTGGATGAGGAGCGATGTCAGTCTTACAACTTTGGAACCATAAAGGGCGACTCAGAGAAATTCGAGTGCCAACTAAGTGCCTCTGATCGATTTGCTGCATTTGCTAACTTCACTGAGGATAAAAATTTCATATACAGAGGAATAGAGGTAACCTAGACCTGTCTTAGTGTATAAGCAATGTTTGACTCAATGTTTGAATATTATCATCTGAAATCGTCGCTGGACCTCTGTACAATGTTTCATAACTCTGATGCAATAACCTTCGTCTACTTAACGTACGTCGCTAAAGGATTTAAGAATCCAAAGATCTTGCGACAATCTAAAGAGAAATTTTCTGAAGTTTGCGTTGGGGAAAGAAACCTAGAAGATCCCTAATAAAAACAAACAAACAAAAAAAAAACCAAAAAACCAAAAAAAAAATAGTAAAAAACTGAACTGTTTTCATTTTTACAACGAAGAGCTAGTAATCCGATACATACAATGCGGAAAAGAAACATTGCTCTATTTTCCACAAACATTCTATATCAACATTTTGGCGTTATCGAATCCGTAGTAAATCGTCGATATATAAAAGTTTTGCCTTGTCGCAAGTTCGCGCCCTCAAAGTAAAACAAGTTCTCCGCATGAGATAAAGGAAGGTGTCTAGTTCTAAAAACTTGCTACCGTCGTTAGCACCAAAAATTTGTCAAATAGAGGAAGAACGCAATACTTTAGCGGCTTTACATTTAACCACACCTGGTTAGGTCAATTGGTTAGAGCGCTGGATTGTGTTGTACGGGACAAATAACAAAAACTCCCTGACGGTGAAGGATACCCATGCATCTCTAGACAACCAAATTTTGTGTTGTGTGGTCGTGGGTTCGGGCCCCAGCCGGACAAATACTCATGGTCTTAAAATAACTGAGGAGAATTTGCTACCTTTCTATAATATCAAGAAATGAATAGATATTCCAATATTCTCGGATAAGGATGAATAAAACCGTAGGTCCCGTCGCCTGCAGGGTTAGGGGTAGGAGATGTTAATTTCCCACGCACGAGATTACTGTGTGGTGGATGTGCTCCCCGGGGTGGGATGGTGAGATGGTGGGTACAAAGGGGTTAGGTGTTAATTGGGACGAAAGTTCTGTTTCTTTCTTCTGCCATTCCCGTGGCAGGAGCAATCTAATTTGTGTAGTAGTCGTGCGTCAATAAACAGCACATTCATAAATTGCCATGTTGCTTGAACTTGAGGAAGAGAAAAAAAGACCTTTGGTTTTGAGTGAGAATTTAACCTCGTGCATATGGCACCGATAATGTACTCGAATTTAAAATAGATGGCAGTTAATATTTTTATATCCTATGATTTGTATCTTGTAAACTGGTATTCAGGGTAGTGTTGCAGCCATCCCTTTCACCTGACCAAATTTTGTTTGCATTAATTCAATTTTCTGAACCTGTTTTCATCACGTAATTTGCTTTTAGGGTAAAAACGCTGCTAAATGTTCAGCGAGTATCGCCGGTACTGTTCGTAACAATACTTTCCGAAAGGCCTGGGAATGGTGTAATGGTGAGGTTTGGCTATCAGTGGTGATTGGTTTGTTCGCTACTGAACCAGGACGTCACTGTCTTGATATTTTAAAATCAGGTGAGTTTAAGATTAAGCGAATAAATCATTTTTAAAAAAACTATATGTGAAATAAAAACATGGTCTTGAAAAGAAAAAGATAAGCGCGAACTTTCCTCTTTGATACTAAATAATGTAATTTTGGTCCTAGTTTAAAAGTAACTTCAGATCACTCTTCATTATTTCAGGTCAAAGTCGCGGTAGTGGACTTTATTGGATCGATCCAAACGGTGGTTCAACAAGTGACTCTTTCCAAGCTTTTTGTGATATGGAGACCAATGGTGGAGGCTGGACACTAATTTCCACAAAAGTGTCTCCAAGCTTCCTCCTTATCAAAACAGCCTTCCTAGCATCAGCTGCAGAAACTACGGATGCAGATGCATCGAGTCACATCCACCCTGACATGGGGGACTGGGAAGAAGTCATGTTCCGGTTCAGTGACGTCAATACCATCCGGGTTATTTACAACAGGAAGGCAGGCGCTCCAAATAAGGACAAAACAGACTTCGAGAAGCTCTTGATGGGGACAACTCTCGACAATGTGGGGAGGACCATCCACGGTTTTTACAAATACAGCCCAGCAGATCAAAACAAGAGGAATCCCTCTTCTGGTTTTGCTTCAATATCAGTTTTGTACTTCGATTCAAACAACGGGATATCTGAAAGCCATGCTGGCACAGACAAGTGGATTGACATGTGGCACTTTGTTGACGTCTCAAACAACTACATCACTTTTGACGATAGCCGCGCTGTTGGTACCAAGTGTATCGCGGGCTACTGTTATCTGAACAAACCAATCTGGGTAATGGTGAGATAGGAAAAAGAACTGTAGCTGAAGATAAGAAAAGGCGCTCTCAAGTTTTTGTAAATTGGTGGGAGTTAATCAATTATTCTATGCTGCCACAACTAGCCATAGTTGTTGTATTAGTAAAAATAAATAGTTAAAAGCTTTGATAAGTTGTCGATCGTTAGAGAGAATTATTATAATCTCGATGTAACTGCCTAAAATAAGTGTTTTTAAAGATGCTAATGTACGGATTCTTATTGTGTTTGCCATTAACCTATATCTTCTTATTGTGAAATACCCCCTGATTTTAAGATTCGCGGTATCTCGACCCTTCTGATATGTTTTAGAAATGCAAAATCTCAATTTGATATTGTTTCCCTTTCCATGTTTGTTATTAAACGAAAATTCTCATTTGTTAGCTCAGGCCCAACTTTATAGTTCTGTTTCTGTTTCGTTTCACATTTATCCCGACCGAGTGATATCGTGTATTAAAACTTAGAGTTACTTGAAGCATTTAATGAATCATTTCAAATGAAAGTAACACGCACTCTTAATCCCGAGATATTTGAAAAAAATGCAGTTGTTTGAGGAAATATGATAGGATAAAAAATTGAAGCGTAGTCAGGATGAGTTTTAGAAAACATAAGCTTCAAGCTGTCGATCTACAGCCTCATGTCCTCGGATGGAAGGCTGTAGATCGACAGCCGAAGCAAATGTTTTCTAAAACTTTTGGCCAGAGAAAGTTCTAGCTGTATTTTAAAATTTGATAGGTTTAGACAAAGTCAACTTCATTACTATTTATCATAAAAGGAAAGTTGTAACTGAATAATTGACTGTCTCCGATTTAAACATGGATGTCTCCGAAATGAACACGGCTCCTATTTTTTAGGCAACCTAAAAGTAAAATTGTCTTTATTTTCCTTACTATTTTCATATGACACCACGGTTTTTTTGTTTTTTGTTTTTTTGTTTTTCATTATTCGCACTGGTTTCAACTTATTTTCTGGTCAAAGCGAGTTGTATCGCTTTTTAATGTTTCCCCACGCATTTTAGTGACGAGTTTTACCTACAATGTTGACACGTTTTGCCTACAATGGTGACATATGTTCGGCCTTACCGTGCCTAATTATGCTTAGTGCAATAATAAGGTTTTGGAAACTGTCTTTTGAGTTGTCACATTAAAGGAGGGAAATTTATCAGAATATAGTGAGCCTCATTTTGCGTACGGTCCACGAAGATGCTATCTTTGAGTTCCTCGGTGCTTGTGCTTTTGTTTCTCAATTGTCTTGTTGACATTTCTGTGATGTTAGGAGTTGTATTTCATAACCCGGTGCATTGGAATTCAGAGGTGGTTGATGGTATAATAGCTGTCACGCCGCCAATCCAAATGGTTTGTACTATGGGGGAGGTACTGCATAGGGAGTAACTTGGCACTCATTTCGAGGGCTTGATTATTCGTTAAAGCACATGGAGATGAAACTTCGACCAGTATGATTTTATGATTTTAACCGCCTCCCGGTTAGCTCAATGGATAGAGCGCTGAAATGATGTGCGGGAGGTCGAGGGTTCGAGCCCCGGCCGGACCAACACTCAAGGTCTTAAAATAATTGAGAAGAATATGCTGCCTTTTTATAACATCAAGATATGGTTGAGATATTGTAGTCTTCTCGGATAGGGACGAATAAATGGAGGTCCCGTCTCCTGCAGGGTTAGGGGTAGGAGACGTTAATTTCCCACGCACGAGATTACTGTGTGATGGATGTCCTCCCCTGCATGGGGTGGGATGGGTGGGTTGTTGTCTTGCGTTTCACATGAGCCTCTGGCTCCGGCAATATGGGTAACCATGCCCCACGTAAAAGACATTAAACTTTGATTACAGGATAATGGGAGCAGCGTCTGTAAAAGTTTCGCAAACTGTAACTCTTCAGAGTTAAAAATATCTTCAATGCGTGAAGAAATTCTTGACAAAGCTTCTGATGATTGTATAATGGCGTATATGCGAGTTAGCCATAACGAAGACAGAGTGTGCCAAATTAAAGATAGAAAGATACAAAAGTTTCTTATCTGTGATACGATAGGGACAGGGCGATTGCATGTGCCTAATATGTAACATTTCAATCTAAGGTACACATTGAATGGGACACATTAATACAGGGTTATTATAACATAGCATCTGTGCATTCTTATCGTAAACCTTCTGATAAAACTCGATTCTCATAATCAGTTTGAGGGAATCATAACTGGATATCGAATGAATGTTTAAAGAATCTTTTTTATCCCTTGGATCACCTTAAAGTCTTTGTTCGACGAATCCACCATTGGCGAATTACTCAACAAACTGTAAGAAAACTCCTGAAATTAATTCCCTGATACTTTGCCCAACGTGTTTTTGCCTTTATTTAATAGAATCGCATCAGTGAATAAAATTTCGCATTCTGATTGGTTAAAGAACAAAGCGAGGTATTTAGCGTGGAATTACGAATTGAAAACGAGACTGAGTGATACTGTTTCATATTTACGTCTACATACAACTATAAGTAATGCTTTTTTCTTTTTCTTCTTATTCTTATTCAGTTATGCGATTCAAGGAAAATCCACTACTTGACTGGTGAATTGCGCGTTAAATTGCCTTAGAAAACCGATATCGCACTCATCGCTACGCAATTCGTGCGATATCGGTTTTCGCGTGCAATTTAATGCGGAATTCCCTCTTCAGGCTATGAAATTTCTTATATAATTATTCTAATTCGGCTTGTTCTGTCACCAATTTCAAGTCGCTGTGTTTAATTGTCTTGTTTATCGTCCGATCAATTCACTAGAGGTTTGCTACCATAGGGGTCATTGACTTTAACACGACAGGACTGAGGAGGACTGAACTGGATGTGACTGACGTGACACAACTGAGGGGCGGATCTTAATTTAATGACCGACGCTGTTTAGTTGCCTTTCTTTGGAGAAAAGTGCGTTAGTTTCTTAGACAGAAATCGTTTTGATTAGTTGGGAATTGAATACTTTAGTAGCCACCTTTGAATAAGTTGTTTGACCCAAGTTAAAAAGATATCAAAACAATAGTAACGTCACAAATGCTGCTTGGTGTTTTAAGGACGAACCTAATGCAATATTCAAAAGGATCGCCCAAAGAGGATAAACCTAATTTTAATTAAAGTATAATGAAAAGGAAAGTTCTAATAACATTAAATTGAGGAGATGGTAAATTCAACGATTGCGAGTTGAGTCAAAGACCGCATAAAAAGTGAAACAACTAAAGATGTACCTATGGGCATTTGTGGTGTTCCCACTCGAAGGTCTCGCACAAGGTTCAAATCGCTTTTTGGAATAGAATTTTGGAATACAATTTGGAATTATAAAACAGGAATAAGTCGAAAGTCACTTTAGAAGCACTTCGAATAGCTTATACTGTTTTCAATCTGCCGATTTCCTTGCACCTGCTTAGTTACCTAATGATGCAATAGAAATGAAACAAACATTTCTTCTTCTTTATCATAAACTCCCTGACGGTAAAGAATACCCATGCGTTTCTGTATAATATTTTTTCTTTGTACCGTTGTGTACGGGATAGCTCGCATTTCAGAGCCAGATCTGAGAGCTATTAACTTTGCCGACAAGATAGAAGGACAAAAGCTGAATGGAAGTCTGATAAGAGAAGTCGAAGTGGATTCCGAAACTTCCTGTCACCTCGATTGCGTGGATAAGAGCGATGTCAGTCTTACAACTTTGGAACTGTTAAGTGCGACTCAGAGAAACTCAAGTGTCAGCTAAGCGACTCTAATCGATTTGCTGGATTTGCTAACTTAACTGGGGATAAAGACTTCATCTACAAAGGCATAAAGGTAAGCTAGATTTATCTTAGTGCATTAATAATGAATTGTGCCTCAATGTGCGAGTCATATTATCGAAAATCATTTCGTTTCTGGATCACTCTAAAATATTTTCTAACTTTACCAGGTGCGGAATATAGCAAGCCTGCGTTCTTTTTCGGACACTTACAAACATTTTGGCACTTTCCTATCCATGCACCCATTGATTTAAAGAGGTTTTACACTAAAAGTTCGCCAACTGAAGTAAAACCAGTTTGGGTTTTTATTACTTGAAGTTTGCTGCGATTATGAGCACCAAAAAAATTGTCTAATAGAGAAAAACCGCATAGGACCAAAGCTTCCCTTGACCAGAAATAGATACTTATGACGAAGTTCGAGCGCAATCCAGTTTATTCAGTGTCACAAATATCATTCCTGCATTTTTCAGAGTACAAAAACTGTCTATGCGTTTTCATCTAAAATTGACGACGGGCATTCAACTTTTAAGACGAAACAAAAAAGTCCGCTATCACTGCTTGAGAATATGAATGTTTCTTTACCTAATTTTTAGAGCAGCTTCGAAGATTCCCCTTGCAAAGAAAACGCAATTTGTGTCGCAAGCTGCAAATCAAACCTTTACCTCTGTAAGTGTCTCTGAGGTAAGAGGAGATCCGTTACATTTTTGTGGTTTGACAGCAACTTTTGTTCTTTTAGTTAAAGAGAAGAAATCTCCCTCAACTGATTAATCAAGAGATGTTTTTTTATAGCAAGCAAAGCTCTACGAGTTTAAAGACCTTAGGTCGTCGATTATGACAGAATAATGTGAGAACCAAATATGCAGTCCAGCTATGGTAACGCTGCTTTCCAAACCTCAGTTGTTTTATCTTATGATTTGGTGTCAGCTGTTTTCATCATTCGCGCACGCCTTATGCGATCAAATTGGTGCTCAGCGAAGGCAGTGGGAAGTATTTCAAAAACTATAAGCTACGAGTTGTGGAAAAATTCCTCGTAACTCGCAAAACATACGCAAGTATTGTATGCCAAACCATCTAGTACGGTTTATTTATTATAGAAGATAACTTGATTTTCTTGCCTTTTTATTGTTATTATTATTATTTTTTTATCTGAGAGATTGCCTAAAGAACTGTCTTGACTATTATCAAAATAGCTTTACAACTGACGGTGTGTACTGGATTTACCCTGATGAGAAAGAACCCTTTAAAGTGCTGTGTGACATGACAACTGATAGCGGAGGATGGACCACCCTTCAAAGGCGCATTGATGGCTCTGTAGACTTTTATGTTGACTGGGAATCATACAAAAAAAGGCTTTGGAAATCTGAAGGGTGGGTTTTGGCTTAGAAACGATTACATTCACCGTCTGACTGAATCTGTCAACATGATGGTTCGCATTGATACGGAGGATTACGAAGGTGACCGAGGATCTGCGGAGTACACGACTTTCTCTGTGGCCGACGAAAGCGATGACTATTGAGTGACGATCGATGAGTACCAAGGCACCTCAGGCGACGCATTGCTATCTCTCTCCAG